AATAGGTTAAATTTATCATCCCGAGCAAAAGAGGTACTAAGTCGATTACGTACAGATCATTTAAATCCCGAAGAGCGTACTAATCTAGAGTTATTGTGTTCCAAATATGCTGATATATTTTACATTGAGGATGAGGCTTTAACATTTACTAATAAAATCAAACATCGCATAAGAACTACTGACGAAATTCCCGTACATAGCAAAAATTATAGATATCCCTTTATTCATAGAGATGAGGTTAGGAGTCAAGTAAATAAAATGTTGGAACAAAGAATAATAAGGCCTTCTAATTCTGCTTGGAGCTCACCTATTTGGGTGGTTCCAAAGAAAGCTGACGCCTCTGGTAAAATTAAATGGCGACTCGTTGTAGATTTTAGAAAGCTTAATGAAAAAACACTAGATGATAAGTATCCCATACCGAATATTACAGACGTACTAGACAAATTAGGCAATTGTCAATACTTCACAACTTTAGATCTCGCGAGCGGTTTTCATCAGGTCGAAATGCATCCCGATGATATTCCTAAAACTGCATTTAACGTAGAACATGGACATTACGAGTTTTTGAGAATGCCAATGGGACTGAAAAACGGACCATCGACATTCCAGCGCGTAATGGATAACGTCCTTAAAGAACTACAGAACACCATCTGCTTAGTATACCTGGATGATATAATTGTATTTAGCACATCTTTACAAGAACATATAATAAATTTGGAAAAAGTGTTTAAAAAATTAAGAGAATCCAATTTTAAAATACAATTAGATAAGTCGGAATTTTTAAAGTTAGAAACAGCGTATCTAGGCCATATTATCTCTAAGGATGGTATTAAGCCCAATCCGGATAAAATTAAAGCCATAGAAAAATATCCGATGCCTAAAACTAATAAAGAAATAAAACAATTTTTAGGTTTGTTAGGTTACTATAGAAAATTTATCCCAGATTTTGCAAAACTTACTAAGCCTCTAACAAAGTGCTTGAAAAAGGGTAATAAAATAATTTTGAATGAGGAATACGTAAATTGTTTTGAAAAATGTAGGAAAATTTTAGTGAACGACCCCATACTACAATATCCTGACTTCAATAAGGAATTCATACTTACTACTGACGCATCTAATGTTGCTATTGGCGCTATCCTATCGCAGGGACCCATTGGTTCCGATAAACCTATCTCTTATGCTTCTAGAACTCTTAACGATACAGAAATAAATTATAGCACTATCGAAAAAGAATTGTTGGCCATTGTGTGGGCAACAAAATATTTTCGCCCTTATCTTTTTGGTAGGAAATTTAAAATTCTCACAGATCATAAACCATTACAGTGGGTTATGAACATGAAAGAACCGAATTCTAGATTAACCCGTTGGAAGCTTAAATTAAGTGAATACGATTTTACGGTTGTATATAAAAAGGGTACAGTAAATACTAACGCAGATGCTTTATCACGAATCCAAATTCACAATGAAGAGATTAGTTCAGTTGTAGCAAACCCATCCGAAGATCATGTTTCGATAGGCTCATCGACGGAAACAGCTCATTCAAGTAGAGAAAATCCGATACTCGAAATTCCCATAACTGATGAACCACTCAATAAGTTTCACAGACAATTACATTTAACAGCCGTAGGAGATATTCAGCGTAAACCTAAAGTCTCAAAACCATTCGAAACTCATACGCGAATAGCAGCTGAAGTAAGACAACCCTATTTAGCTCATGATGTAGTAAGTGTTATAAAAGAATTTGTTAACCCGAAAATTAAGACAGCTTTATTGATAGAACCAACTTTTAGTATGTTTGATATTATTCCTATAATACAGGAAAAATTTAGAAGTTCATCTATGAATCTAGTTCTAGCTAAGGTTGAATTGGAGAATGTTAGTGATTACCTTAAACAGCAAAACATAATTCAAAAGTATCACGAAGGGAAAACTAACCATCGTGGTATAAATGAGTGCTATCTTGCTCTCTCTAAGCGTTATTACTGGCCAAAAATGAAGGAGCACTTAACAAAATTTATCAACCAATGTTCAGTTTGTGGTCAAACAAAGTATGATCATAAACCAATAAAGCAGCAATTCCGAGTTGTTCCGCCAGCTACAAGACCTTTCGAAATTGTTCATATAGATGTATTTACTGTAGAAACCGAAAAATATTTAACTATTGTAGATGTTTTCTCTAAATACGCTCAGGCCTATCATCTAAAAGACGCAACAGCTATTAGCATTTTACAAGCCCTCCTACAATTTTGTACTCATCATAATTTCCCTTTAACAATAGTAAGCGATAACGGCACTGAATTTAGCAATCAGCTTTTTACAGAATTTTCTGAAGTTCATAAAATAACACATCATAAAACGCTACCTCACTGTCCCAGTAGTAATGGTAATATCGAAAGACTACATCTGACTCTACTTGAACATCTTCGAGTTTTAAGACTTAAAAATAAGAATGACCCCGTAACTAACCTGATGCCTTACGCTATCATTGGTTATAACAGTTCAGTGCATAGTTTTACGAAATGCAGACCTTATGACATAATAAACGGACATTTTGACCCGCGTGACCCACTAGAGATAGATATTCAAAAACATCTAATGCAACAATATGTTCAAACGCATAGGGAACAGATGCAAACCGTTTACGACACAATTAATGAATTTACTTTAAAAGATAGAGTAGCTATTATAGAAAATCGAAACAAAGATAGAGAACCTGAGGTAGAATTTGAACCTAATCAACAAATTTTCATTAAAAATCCTTCAGCAAATAGGCAAAAGTGTGCTCCACGCTATATCCAGGACAAAGTGTTAGCCAACTTGCCAATACATATTTATTCCTCTAGAAAAAAAGACCCAATAGCTAAACATAGAATTAAGCGAGTGTCTAAGAACCCCATATTGTTACAGGATACCTCCCCTGGTCATCTCAATCCTGTCCCTGACCGTTCGACTGACAGCGACTCAGACTGTACAACTTGAGAGCTTAGGAGATGGACCCGGATTACTACCTTTCAAATTGGGACTGACAAGACTAGTAACCTATTATCATTCCTTTTTACAATATATACAACTTGATAGTATAGAGAACACAATTTTGACCTTACAAACACAATTGTTCGATTTTAAAACATCTTTAGAAAATGATACTTTTAGTCTATATGAATTGCAAATCAATTATCTTCACACTAAATTGGACAAGGTTAGAATGCAGTTAAAAACACTGGAGCCAAATCGTGCAAAACGAGGTCTCGTGGATGGATTAGGATCTATAATAAAAAGCATATCGGGAAATTTAGATTATACAGACGCAATTAAATACAATAATGCCATAAAATTTTTAGAGGAGTCGCAATCTAAAGTTATTTCCGAATTTAATAATCATATTAGTATCAGTAAGGAGTGGATGAACCGTCAAACTGATATTATCGCGCAGTTAGTAGAGAATCAGGGTAAGCTTAACACTACGTTATTTTTATTGTTAGATAAAGATAGTTATAGGAGTACAAGTTTAATTAAGTATGCTAAATTCGCTCAACTTCTCACGATAATAACGGAAAACGTAGACGATATATTAGAAGAATTAATAGAAGTAGAAAACTCATTGGCATTTATTAGATCCTCTAGTATGCATCATTCAATGTTAAGTATAAATGAAATTGATAAAATGCTCATAAAACTTCGACAAATTTATCCGAAAGAACAGGTTATAGATTTAGAACTAAGACAATATTATGACATAATAAAGCCAGGCTATTACTATTATGGTAGGCAAATAGTTATGGTCTTTAAGCTACCATTAGTTTCCTCTGAATCTTTTTACATGTATAAGTTAGCTGTTTTCCCAAATAGGAAGAAGCAGACTCTTTTTCCTTCCTCTCCTTATATCCTTACCAACAGGCATACATTCATGTACATAGAGGCAGAATGCCCGAAGTTCAATAACCAATGGTATCTTTGCGAAAATAAGAACAACATAATCCGAACCTCATGGGACTGCATTCAGACTCTGATTCACAACCAAACTTTGGATCATACTTGCGAGATGACTACATTAACCCTATCACAAGAAGCTTTGGAGGAATTAGATGGGCGACACTACATAATATCGTTTCCACACCCTACGAAAGTACACACTATATGCGGACGGGAAGATTTCATCATATTAAATGGAAGCTTTCTGGCCACACTTCCTGTAAACTGCATCTTAAGGACAGGAGAAATTGTTATAGTAATACCGAGGATAAAGTAGCGGGACAACCTTTTAAAATTATGGATATAAAGTACAAGGACCAGCAATTTAAGAGTACAAATCATATAAAATTAAAATCTATTGATTTAAACAACCTGCATTCTATACAGAGTAAAGTTATGTTGCAACCAACTTTATCAACGGAGAAGGAAGCGTCTTCATTTTATCATACTACCATTCCTTTTTACATCATATTATTAAGTGCACTTACAATCATTACTGGAATGATTGTTACACATCGATATAGAAACGCACGCCATCATGAAACTAAATCTATAGAGGAAAGTAATAAAGGAATAAATCAACAAAATCAATCAGCTGAAAAATCTGACAGCATCCAAGAGCAATTTCCAGCAACATTTTACCACAATGTTTTAAAATAGTTGCTGTTCTCGGGGTGGAGGAGTTATAGCACATAGCTACAGGTGGATCGCTGACCTAACAGGAACGATTGCGACACGAGGCGTCGAGTTAGCATTCGCGGCATTGTAACGTTACACTTTTGTTTGTTCAATTTTACGTGAGAAATAAATTTATAAATTCCATCATTCTAATTGTTACATCGAGTAGCGTTAGACATAATAAATGTAAAATTTAAGTATAGTTTATAATAAAAGTATTTTTAAGTAAATTTTGGTTTTTTTTGAGTTCTCTGGCTGTGTTGCTCTTAACTAGTGTGTGTTTTATGCTTTCTTTACGCCAGTTGATGTTTTGTCCCTAAGCATAATATTTCTTTTTTTCAGGCAACACCATGTCCAGAAGAGACAAAATTCTTTCTTTGGCTATTTCGCAAAATCAAAACTCAAAACCACATGTTTCTCCATCTGAACCTACCAGCCATCAGCTGATTCCAAGGCCATCAATAATAAAACCGTCTGCTGTTCAAAAAGTCAAATCTTTTGAAGCAACCGTTACCAGACATTCTCTAAAGTGCTATGAAACCCTACCATACTCCGAAGAAGAATGTGAAAAGATGAACAGACCTGTAAATTATTTTGAAGATTCCGACGATAGTGTCATTGATAAAGACTATATCCCTGATTTTATAATTTCAGATTCTGATTCTGATTCAGCCATTTTTATTAAAAGAAATTTACTTGAACATAAAAAAACTAGAGGCAAAAAGACAGAACGTGAAGAGACTGAACATGATGAGACTGAACGTGAAGAGACTGAACATAATGAGACTGAACATGAAAAAGCAGAACGTGAAGAGGCTGAATATGATGAGACTGAACGTGAGGAAACTGAACGTAAGGAGACTGAACATGAAGAGACTGAACGTGAGGAGACTGGATATGAAGAGACTGAACATGAGTAGATTGAACGTGAAGAGACTGAACATGAACATACTGAACGTGAGGAGATTGGACGTGAAGAGACTGAACATGAACATACTGAACGTGAGGAGATTAGACGTGAGGAGATTAGACGTGAGGAGACTGAACGTGAAAATAGTGAAGTAGAAGAATGCGTAATACTTGAAATGAGAAAGGACTGACTAAAGCGGGCTTGCCAAGAAAAAGACGTAGATTTGATACATCCCTTGCGGATCGACAAAGACAGAAAAAAGAAAATGCTGATGAAAAGCTGTCACTGAAACCACCGTGTGATGGTAAATGTCGTAAAAAATGCACAACTAAGATTTCTGAAGAAATTAGAAGAGAGATACATGATCGGTACATAAGATTAGATTATTCATTAAAGGAATGGTCGAATCAAAGGAAATAAAAACAAGAACTACTAAGGAAGGTCGAAATAAGAGAAGAGATGTTTCGTATTACTATCATTTTCAAGTCAAACATGAAAAAATTTATGTTTGCAAAACTTTTTTTTTAACGACACTTGGTTACAACCCACAAAATAACAGACATATTCACTCGGCACTCAGTAAGGAAGTTGATAATCAAAAAGATAAACGAGGATCATACAAACGCCAAAATGTCATAGACAGGGACGTAATCAAGGATCATATACAAAGTTTTAATCCAACAATTTCACATTACCGTCGCGAACATGCCCCTAATAAACTTTATCTGCCGAGTGACATCAATGTAACAATGATGCATCAATGCTTCATTGAAAAATATGCCAATATGTCGGTCTCTTTTGAAACATATCGAAAGGTTGTAAAAGAAATGAATATTTCCTTTGCTCATCTCGGGCATGAAGAATGTGAGCAATGTGCCCTCTTTAAATCACATACTGGGTGTTCTCAGGAAAACTGTGACCTCTGTATCCAAAACAGTAAACATAAGTCACGATACACGGAATCCAGAGAGGAATATCAACGAGACAAAGAGCAAGGTCTTACTGACCAAGACTGCATATACTTTTCTATAGATCTACAGAAAGTAATCATGTTGCCACGAATGGACCAATATAAAACAGCGATATTTTGTCCTCGTGTTATTACATTTAACGAAAGTTTCGTTCCACTTGGAGGTAGTAATGATACAAATGTTCCTTATGCCGTGCTTTGGAATGAAACTGTCTCTGGTAGAAGCCAAGAAGATATCATTTCAGCATTCAGATCGTTTTTTATACATGAACGCGAATGAAATACATGAAACATATCGTGGTATGGGCCGACAATTGCGCGGCCCAAAACAAAAACTGGGCGTTTATGTGTTTCCTAGTGAACATAGTAAATAGTCAGCTGATTGCTGCCGAATCAATTACCGTAAAATATTTTGAACCAGGCCATACGTTCATGTCGGCTGATAGCTTTCACCATCAGGTTGAAATGGCATTAAAAAAAAAAGAAAGTTTATGATTTTGATGACTTTGTAGATTCGGTAAAAATGCCCAATTCAAAAAAAAGCGTAGTAAAAGTGATGACAGTATCCGATTTTTACAGTTATGAGGATGTGTCGTCTCAGCATAAAATTCGTAACATGGAACCCAGAGTCTATCTAAAAGACATCATGGCAGTCAGAGCCGAAAGAGGAACATTTACAATAAAGCAAAGAGCTACCCACGTGTCTGATTGGAAAGAACTAGATTTTCTACAAGTCAAAATAATCAAAAACAAATGCTTTCCTAGTTTTGCAAACAAGAATTCATCGAGAGGAATAACAAAAGAACGAAAAGATAGAATAATAGCCGACTTAGTACCTTTGATGCCTGAAACCAGGAGAGGCTTTTGGTTAAACTTACCTGAAACAACCCGAGCTTCGAACCTAGACTAAAAATATTTAATTAGTTATAAGTTACACTGATAAAAACATTGATCTCAAATTGTGCCTTAAAATAAAAAAGTAGATTACATTTTTTTAGTTTGTTTTTAATATTAACGACTGTGTACTTTAACTACTATTAAGATTCATTTTGACAAATGAATAATTTTTTTAAATGTTTGTTACTTAATTGTAGTAACCGTTGAATTTTAAATGCTGGCTAATAGACCAGAATTATTATTAATAAGTAAAATAGCGAAGTGATTCCCATTGTGATTGTACTTTTTTAGTTTGAAATAAAAAAGATTTAATATGATTTTTTTTTATTCATTAAATTATAACCGATTTCACATTATTTTAAAAACACAACTTAATGCAGATATTATGAGTAGACTTGACTTTACCGAAAACACTTTAATGCTAAATCGGTAAGAGGCAAAATACTGTTTTGCAAACTTCTGTTTATTCATAGGTATTTGACATAAAAGTGTAACATCTCTGTTTTTCTATTAGTAACAAGTTAAAATTTTTGGCGTTTTAAACTAGTCTCTTACTAATGAAAATCGCAATAAATAAGAAACTTAATGCACATTTGGTTAGGATGATGATTAAAAAAAAATTAATTGCTAGTCAAAATTGCATCATGTTGGTTTCCTAACCATTAGTGCAATAAATAGGTTACTTGTTGCGGTTATGACTAGTAAACATTCTTTCTACATAATAATAATACTTACCATTATTGTATTTATTGGTTTTTATATCGGGAATAAATGCGGGAACAAACATTAAGTACCACATAATAATTCTCTACATTGTTATACATCATGTAGTGAAAGTTTCAATCCGATACCATGTATAGTGATGGAGATACAATCAAAACAAAAATAAAATCTTTCCCGCGTTTTTCTCGAAATCAGGTTTGACCAAGTTATTGCACTTTTCGTAGGGACGGCAGAGCAGTTGTATTATCAGAACACAATTACAATGCTATAAGCAGAACCAGTAGGAATATGTTGTCTAAAGGTTGGTATTTCTTTACTAAAAGAAATCTAATATTATAAATTTATAAAGAAGTAAAGTTTTTAAGCTTGGTTGCAGGTACCTGCTACATCTAAATTTACAATTTTACAAACTTAAATAAAAAAATCTATTTTTTATATCAAAAAAAAATTGTTGATTTGTTTGTTTGTTTTTCTTTGTCCTGCTTTCATGCAGCCTGGGATAGACTTGATTTTTCTTATCTGTAGTTAAAACCAGAAGTTACCAGAGAGCTTTTACTCCCATGAGAACATTTTCTTGTGGCTGGCTGGCACTGGCACTGGCAATAACTAGTAAAACAAAAGCTTTGTTACTACCTATTTATTGACTTAACAATTTTATACTTTTCAGCTGTGCCGCTTAACTATCAATGCATGCAGATGAAACCACTTCATTACAAGATGAAAATCATGCGTAATAAGATATGTTGTTTGCGAAAAAAAGTACAATGTTTTAAGGAAAGCCTTCTGCTACTCAAAAACTGTGCAACAATGTGGCTTTCAGACATGTCACAAAAAATATGACAAAAGCGGCACAACTTTTTGCTCACATGCAGCTATAGAGCACCAAGAAGCCCAAAGGTAGACGGTTTTCTATGGAAGAGAAAGTTTTGTCAGCATCACTTTTTAAAAAAGTCTAAAGTGCTATAGACTTCTGTGCAAATATTTCGCTCTCCCATCATCAAAGTCCATGAAACGTCTACTTAGCCAAATTAAATTAACTCCAGGAATAAACAAAATAATTTTTAAAAAAATTAAAGAAACTGTACGAGAAAAAGAGGTGAGCGATCGGCTCTGCACGCTCATCTTTGATGAAATGTCAATTACTCCGCAGATAATGTATAATGCGCAGAAAGATACACTTGAAGGTTTTGCTTCAAATAAAGAATCTGCATTTGCTGATCACGTCCTAGAGTTCATGGTCAAGGGAGTTATAAGTAATTTTAAGCAGCCAGTAGCATATTACTTTACTAATAGTTTAAATAAGATAACACTTAAAAATATCGTTAAATGTGTCATTGAGCACACACTTGAGACTGGGCTTATCATTACAAGTACAGTATGCGATCAAAGCCCAGTTAATGTTGGAGCGATTACTGAATTAATTAATGAAACAAAAGCTTCATACTTGCGGCGCAACAAAAATTGGAATACAGACATGTTCCGTGTTAAAAATCAAAATATAATTCCATTATATGATACTCCACATCTAATAAAAGGAATCAGAAATAATATAATCACAAAAGATTTAATATATTATTGGAAGAATAGTGAGGAGACGTCATCATGGAAGGGATGACAAGTAGTGGTGGCGTCTACGAGTCTATATAAGCTTGTGCGCGCTTCATTCGAGAGACTTTTCGTGTACTGTCAACTAGTATAGGGGAAACCCTTGTCCATTTGGAAAGTCAACCTGCCTTTTATTTTTCTTTGTAATTAAGAATTTAGATTTGTTTTTCTTTAAATTGTTAATACATACGATCTCTGTTATTTTTTTTTTAACTGATTTAGTTTAAAATTTCTATTAAAAGTATAAATGTATGTATAAGTAGTTATTATTGTTTTTTTTATTTCAATTTCACTTCTGGTTCCTAAAATCAGAAGTGGGATTAGAAAATTTCACGTGACCTAATTCGCTTTGCATTCCTGAGATACGGCATTTTGACTATTCAAATCACTTAACGTTTTTTTTTCTTATTGCGTTTAAAAAAGTGAAGTCATTCTATGTTTCTTGCTGTTACGTAAGTAGTGTGTGGTCTGCATAATTTAATGGTAAAGTATATGACACTAAAACACTGGTGAGTACATCCCAATTTATTTTTGCTTACTACCTACATTGATTTTGAATATATTTGTGTGTGATCTTAAATAGATTTGTGAATTTAAATTTAAAACCTCTTGTAGTCTAATTTGCTATTTAGCTATACAAGCCTACCTACCCGCATAACGCATTTCTTTTCATTGTGCTTTGTTTAATTTTATTTTTCGTAATTTACTGTTATCTATAATAAAGAAAATGCCTAATCAAGATCGTAAAAGTAGAAGCCGCTCTAGAAACCGTGGTTCGCGTTCTGGGCACGGTGCTGCACACTCGAGTGACGGTAATTCTGGTTCTAGGCGCCGAAAGTCTCATTCTAGGCGTATTTCAAAAAGACATAATTCCCCTAATAACATGTTAACCGAACAAATGCAACAAATTTTAAATTGTTTAACTGTATTGGAAGGGCAACGTAGCTCCTCACCGCCGCGAACACATGAACCGAGCGCAGGTGTGCCTGCGCTGACGCCACCACGGCTGCGACCTCTGACCACGACTGTAGTTGAGCATCAGAGGTCGGTGCTTGAAGGTCGAGAGTCAGCTGTGACGTCTTCACCAGGGCGTCCCGTGAGTGCAATTACGGACCGTGACGCCAGCGGGACTGATCGTATCATCGACGCGATACGTTCAATCAACACGACGGTGAGATCTAACCAATCTTATTACATATCCAATTTCGATCCTAGCATCCACGATATAGACACCTGGTGTGAGGAAGTTGACCGTGCTAAGAGTACAAACTATTGGAACGATAACGAATGTCTGTCTCGTATCGGTAATTGTCTTAAAGGAGATGCTAGAACGTGGCTCAATGAATGGGTCACCAATGATCGTAGTTGGAGTAATTTTAAGAAAGAGTTTAAACCGTTGTGCCCTAGGAAACCGGATATTGCAAATATTTTGTACGAGGCTATGAGTAATAACTCTGATCAATACCCGACATATGCCGATTATGCTCGCCGGTCCTTATTAAAGTTACGCATAGTTAGGGGGCTGAGTGACGAGCTTATTTCAGCGATAGTCATACGAGGCATTACGGATCCGCAAATTCGTGCTTCGGCTACCAATGCGAAGTTAATGCCAAATGAACTAGTAGAATTCTTCTCTATTTATGTCAAATCAAATACAACAACTTTTAATAAGAAATCTAGTGATAGCACGCGTAATAACCGCTTTTCTAAATCAAATCATGATGCAAACGTTCGTAAAGGTAAGTTTGAGGAAGGCAAATGTTTTTTATGTGGCCAGCGTGGTCATACCCAGTCTCATTGTTTCAAGAAGTCTAAAACCGTTTCTAATAAAAGCAACAATGATGAAAACAATAAGAAGGATAGTTCTGCTCAGAGTTTAAATAAATCCGAACCTTGCGCTTTCTGTAAAAAACCGGGTCATAAAATTGAAACTTGTTTTGCAAAACTTAAATCTGATTCTCGTAACGCGAATAATGTTAACTTCTGCCAGGAAAGGAAGCTATAATAAAAATAATGATATAGTAGTAGCCGGTCATACAGGGAATTCCTGTCGATATTCTTATAGATAGCGGTTCAAGTATATACTTGATTTCTTCATCTTTGCTGAGACATTTCAAATTACCAAATTCACCATCTAAATATAAAATTGGTTTCACCGAGAGAAGTCTTGAGGGAAATCAAACATAATATTAATCCAAAAAAATCACCTGGATTTGATCTTATTTCAGACGAAATACTACACTATTTACCAAAAAGAGCCCTAGTAAAGCTAACAAATCTTATTAACGCTGCCCTAAGGCTGCAATATGTGCCAGATTTATGGAAAGTAGCAGAAGTCATTATGATACCGAAACCAGGAAAACCGCCTAATGAGATAACATCATACCGGCCAATTTCCCTATTACCTATAATGTCCAAACTATTTGAAAAACTTTTACTAAAGAGGATAAAACCAACATTAGAAACCAAGGGACTTGCTCCAGACCACCAATTCGGATTCAGGGAAAAACACTCTACAATAGACCAAATCCATAGAATCACACATATCATCGAGAAAACTCTAGAGGAAAAACAAGTCTGCTCTACTGTCTTTCTAGACGTCGCACAGGCATTTGATAAAGTGTGGCATGATGGCCTTGTACTAAAACTAAGAAAAATGCTACCTAAGTCATATTCGGATATACTAGAATCGTATATATCAGACAGAGTATTTAGAATAAGGCACGAAGATGCCTACTCTGAAATTAAAAGTATAAGAGCTGGGGTGCCACAAGGAAGCGTATTGGGTCCGGTCCTGTACCTTTTATACACCAGCGATATCCCCGAATTAGAAAATAATACCATCGCGACCTTTGCTGGTGACACTGCCATAATGGCAGTTGGAAATTCTCACGCAGAAGCAGCTGAAAAGGTTCAAATAGCGGTTAATAAAATCCATGACTGGACATTATAATGGAGAATAAAGTTAAATGAATCAAAATCGATTCATATAAACTTCATCAACAAAAAAGAAGATTACCATCCGATATTTATTAACAATAACATCATACCATATGAAAATACAGCAAAGTATTTAGGAATGACGCTTGACGCGAAGCTACCCTGGAAAGCTCACGTTAAGAAGAAAAAAGAAGAATTGGATTTCCGGTACAAAAAGATGTATTGGCTGTTGGGAAGACATTCCTCTCTGTCCGTGCACAACAAAATATTATTATATAAACAAGTCCTGATGCCAGTGTGGACCTATGGTATGGATAGTTCTACGTTAAGAGGTACTATCGAGGGCTACATGAAAAAATCATACATAATTTGAAAATTCGCGGAAATCCTCAGTCATATTTAATAATAAATAAAGCATACTTTTTTACCAATGAATTACAGTATCTGAATTAGCTTAGTTTAGCTATAATTTCATGTTTACCTAGAAAAAAGTATCTACCCTGGCCTGTCTCTTTACTATTCTGTAACAAACTCTTTCAAATTTAACATATTACTAATTCATTCAAAATCTAAGCGTTATTTATTACAAAAAACAGTATAATTAACAATAATGAATGTATAAAAAAACTCTCAAATTACTTTAATTTTCTATTTAAAAAAAAATATCAGTTTTTGTCCCTCATATATTAAGTCTCCTCCCCTGCCTATTTTTCGTCCGTTATAAATGCTGCCAAAATACGTTGACGCTTCAAATATCAATAGGCAGAGCATTTGTTTTAAAGTTAAGTTAGTAACAAAGGCCGCGAGCGCCATCCACGCGCTCTCATTGGCAGATAATTCGATCACGCCACTCGGCTCACACGGACGTATCAGTGATTGCAGTATCTCCACTGGTAAGTTTTATTCATTTCTTATTTACATTTAAAGTCTATAAATGTATTATTTATTTACTTTAATTTAAGCTTAGTTTACCGTGTTAATTTGTTTTTTTCGTTACAACATATTTTATCCTGATTAATCTTAGTTTTTTCATGAAAACGTCTCTTCCCTGCCGTATTTCCCCTGCTTCATGAGATGCCAGGGTAGAGACTTTACATCCAGGGTAGATAAGGAAGTGAGATATTACTGCTTTCTTAGTATTCATATATTTTTATTAGTATATGAATTTTGTTTTAAGTTAGTCTTCCACTACGTAGCAATTATTTAAATTTATTTCTAAAATGTTTGAATAAGCTTTTTCATTTCTTTAGATCATGCCTCCTCGAAAGAAACTAACTCGTGAAGAACATCTTGAAAAGAAGCGTCTCGCAGAACGATTGAGATACCAACGCATAAAAAATGATCCCGAAAAGTATTCTCAACAGAAGGAAAAGGAAAAGAAGAAATATGAAAGAAAAAAAGAGAAGGGAACTATTAAGACCGTAAACCAAATGACACCCAGAGAACAACGAAAAGCCAGAAAGATATGGAGAGAAAAGGCAAAACAGCGGAGACGACGTTTAGCTCTTCAACATATTGAAAATGCTCCTGCTACCATACCTACTTCGGACAACGAAAATATTAATCAACGAGCGCAAGCTGGACAACGAAGATCGATCCAGGCAAGGCGAGCAAGAAATATATTAATAAAAAAACAGGTAGCTCAAATCGCTCAGCTTAAATCAACAATACAATGTTATAAAAAAAGACTTCAGAGATCCAAAAGACAAAATAATATGGAGATAGAGAAAAGTCCAGGTACAAGGGTAAGCGCATTACTTTCTTCACCAAAATCGAGAGATACTGTCAAGAAAAAAATATTATGTGGAGAAGTTCTTTCTCAACAATTAAGAGATAATTTTTCGGATCTTACGACTCAAAAAGAGCAAAGACTGTTTCAGATAAGTGGAAAACTGGTTTCAAAATATAGAGTTTTAGAAGAAGACAAGATATTAAAACCTATTCAGAAAAGAAAAACTAAATTAACTTTAATAGAAGCAAAACGAAGCATAAGAAAAAAATCGATAATTTTGAGAAAAACTATAGAAATTTTCATGGAAGAAGATTCAAACAGTAGAGTGTGTGCTGGTAAAAAAGACGTTGTAACAAAACAAGGGGTAAGAAAACAGATGAGAGTTATGTTGGACACTTTAATAAACTTATACAAGCTTTTCATAAAAAAAAACGGCATTAAAATTTCCTATGCGCTTTTCTGCAAGTTTCGTCCGTTTTGGGTTGTCCAGTCACGGTACGACAAACGTAACACTTGCTTGTGTGTAAAGCACAGCAACATTGAATTAATTTTGAATTGTCTACACCAAGCAAAGATAATATCAGTGTTAAACTACGTGGATCTTCTAAATACGTTTTGTTGCAACAGATATAATGAAGATTGTCTTTCGAGAAATTGTGAGACCTGTAAAAATAAAACACTTTGCTACAAAGAATTTGATAATTCATTTCCACTACTCTATAAAAAGTGGCAATCTGTACCTCAAGATTATGTGGATGTAAAAACTAAAAAGACGCGGAAAATTATGAAGTGCGTAAAAAGCACAATAGAAATATACCCCCGAGATTTAATTTTACAATTGGAAAGTAACACCGAAATCTTACTTCTACACGAGTTCAATATTGTACATCAATATATGGCTATGAAATTAAAAAAGGAAACATTGACAGAGCGAGATGCTATTATTCATGTTGACTTTAGTAAAAAATATCAAACCAAATACGCTGAAGAAGTGCAATCCTTCCATTTTGGAGGCTCGAGAGAGCAGATAAGCATCCATACGGTCGTGGTGTACACCAAAGGAAATAATGGAGACACAATGTTCCTGTTATTGCACCTTATCGAAAAATTTATCACATTCACCACCAGCAATTTGGGCACATTTGCAGCCTATACTCGACAGTCTTCCCGCACAAATCGAAAACTTGAATTTCCTAAGTGATGGACCGGTCACACAATACCGTAATAAAATAATGTTTCACGCATTGGCAACTAAATTACAAGATTTTTACCCAAATCTCATAAAAATCTCGTGGAATTACCACGAAGCCGGTCATGGCAAGGGCGCGCCTGATGGAGTAGGTGCGACGTGCAAAATAACTGCGGATAGACTTGTTGGAGCTGGAAACGACATTTCGTCGCTGGAAGATTTAACGAACGCCCTCCAGAAAAATTGTCCCAATATAAAAGTGTTGACCATTGATGACAAAGACATATCAAAGAAAGAAAAGGAACTTGAAAATACCAAAAATTTAAAAGGTTTCTCTGGCACTATGAAGGTCCATCAAATTACAGGAAGTATACTTTTTCCCAATCACTTAACAATGAAGAGCTTAAGCTGTTTCTGTAATCTTGAAGTATGCAATCATTTTGTGCTTGGCACTTTGGATTTTCCTAGCATGAATACAAAATCGCGCCTAAATGTTGATAATGTGTATGGGCCTGAAAGTGAATCTGACGAAGAACCACTAATGAAATATAGAAAGTCAAAGCAGCTCAGAGTATCTTCGTCTTGTTCTCAGCCAGTTTCCGAGGAGACATACCAGTTTGTGAACAAACAACCCTTAACATCTAGGTTGAAAAATAAATTTAATAATGGCGATTTTGTCTTGGTGAGACTGTTGCATAAAGAAAAAGAATATCGTTACGTAGCGATGTGCACAGGGGTTAAAGAAGATGATGAAGTCGAAGTTATTTTCTGCAAAGTCTCTGAGAATACTGGAAAAAGCTTCAGAATTGATGACAATGATATTTGTTTCGTCACATGCGACCAGATTATTAAAAACTTACCAGCCCCAAATTTAAATATGAAAAGGCAGAGGATTTTTTACACTTTTGACAAAAGTATTAACGTCTTTGAACAGGCGTGATCTCAATTGTTTTATTTTTAATGTTTATTTTTTTAGAAGTTCTTGTTTAATTATTTTTTTTTATCACAGCGTTGATTCTCATATTCTCACTTAAAAGTTTTATTAAAGAAAATATTTAAGTTAAGTTTATTTTACTTTAGAAAAAGATGTTACATTTGTGATTTTTGTAAGCAGATATTAAGTATTTTTGTTTTCTAAGTTTAATTCCTAATTTAGGTTACTTAAAAAAGACTGTACGAAACTTCAAGTCTGAATTTCTGTATTAGTTATAAACTACCACAAATTAGTGAATAATTAAAGTTGATTCTTACGAAATTGAGTTTTTTTTCTCAATTCATCTTTCCCCTGTAAAGTAAGGTATCCTGCCCTGGCCTTCATGTCTCTACCCTGTACAGATTATCTTCCCTGGTCCCTTCAAATACTCATAAAAGTAAATTAATTGACTGGCCATTCATCTACAGCATACAAAATACCTGATTACATAATATAATGTAGAAAAAAGAATCAATTTTAAATATTTTTATCGTGCCGCCCTGCCTAATATCAAAAGACCTCTTAACGTAGAATTACCCGTATACAGCTGTGGGGCTGTACCAAAAAGAGTAATATTCTTATCATACAACGATTCCAAAATAAAGTTCTTAGGGGAATAGTTAATGCACCCTGGTACGTAAGAAATGACTATCTCCATCGGGACCTCAACGTAGAGATTGTCGATAAAGTGATAAAAAAAATACGCAGAAGCTCACGAGCAAAGACTTCACTAACATGTGAATATCGAGGCAATCCAGCTCCTCGACAACACCGACATAGTGAGACGGCTCAAAAGAACTAAATCTTTTGAGTTAGTGTAGTGTTAAAAAAATAGTGTAATGTAGTGAAAGTAATAATATTATAATGCTACCAATATAGAACACAAGAACAAAGTGTCTTCGCCTTAACTAGAGACTTTAAGAAAAGTGCCATTGGACACATTCTTAGATATATTATTTTATATAACTAAGTTAAAGTTAAATTACTCATTAGCCTTGTTGGCTAGATCGTAATAATATTAGGTTACAATATTTTAGTACTGTTACCTAGAAAAAAAATATGAATCATTTAAACAATACTTAGCAGTTGGCATTTATATTACAGTACTCAACGGCATGTCATTCAAATAATATCCCATCAAAAACATTCTGTAAAAATATTGCAAGTCTCGCAACGCATTTCTTCTACCTCAAAAAGCTATGAGATGTAATGTAAAACCAAGTCGGTTAATTTATTCATTACCTATCTATGAAAGCATCTATCCGACAACTTTGTCATAAATCGTTACCGAATTAGTTAAGTTACAACATTTTATAGTGACCGTATTAATATTAGATATATTTATTTCTTTAATTAATAGAATGACTTGGCCATCGCACGGAAACATTATCACATAAGAGTCTACAACTTTAAATAGCCCTAATTAAACATATCATGACCAAGGTGGACGGACTACTTGGTCAAAGTCGCTGGAGCCCACTAGATGCGGATGGCACAAGACTGGTTGTCGTGGAACTTTTTGGGAGAGGCCTATGTCCAGCTGTGTGTGTGTTTGGGCTGAGATGAACTGAACATAGCACTAGCGGGTCAAATTTATGCATCTATACATTAATAATGCACTCAGAACGCTAATTTTAGGTAAATTTTGTTATTTGTAGATTCTATTATCATATGCGATGGCCAAGTCATTCTATTAATTAAAGAAATAAATATATCTAATATTAATACGGTCACTATAAAATGTTGTAACTTAACTAATTCGGTAACGATTTATGACAAAGTTGTCGGATAGATGCTTTCATAGATAGGTAATGAATAAATTAACCGACTTGGTTTTACATTACATCTCATAGCTTTTTGAGGTAGAAGAAATGCGTTGCGAGACTTGCAATATTTTTACAGAATGTTTTTGATGGGATCTCATTTCTTTTTGTAAATATTTCTTCTTTTTCTCTTTTCTTGTACTATTTCTTGTGTGTCAGCTAAGGACTTTTTAAAAGCCCACTCCTTGTCTCTGTGGGCTTTTTTCAGGGGCTTTGATATAGGCAACAAATTTTGACAAGTCTGGATGATAAAAAATCTAAGTCTATTGTATTGGGAAATTACGGACTCCTGGACTTTAATACTACTTTTTTTTTTTTTAACGTTGGGAAATGCATTTACGCACGACGTGTGGGACTCACCGGCGTAATACAGCCAGTACTACCCACTAAAACCCAACAAAACCTTCCCCCGTCTTAATGGGGCGTCGCAGGATCGCTTACGCATTCAACTACGACGCCCCGACGGCAGGTCTGCCGAAGCAGACCACCACAACCATGGGGTTGCTCCACAGTCCACTCTGCTATCAGAGAAGTACCAGGAGCAACCCGCATGGTACACCGCCCCCGAAGAGGGCCACCTCCCACCGCTCACCGAAGTGGGCAACCTCCCTGTGCGTTTCTTAGCTTCGCGCCCGGTTGGATTGCCGGGCACTACTGAGCCCCCCCACCACGACAAGGTGAACAATACTACTATCTTATGCATTAAGAATAAATATGTATAGTTAATTTAACGAATATTTTAATTTCATTGTTGACCCTAAATACCTACCCCGATACTGATATTCGACTTACATAAGTTTAATAAGACGTGTAGATTTATGTGTCTATCTGCAGCATCGTAGTTAAATCCCGAAAGTTGTATTCCATTCCATTTTAAAAGTAATTTTCGAAGAGATTGATATTTCATGACCTCTATATTTCATGTTGACAAGGTTTTCTAATTCATATTATTTGTGGACGATATACATCGATTTATTTAAAACACTCGATGTATAGTAACGATGCATCGTATAAACCGATGTATTGTTAATACTTCAACATCGAATATATATCGATGTTTTTCATTCGATACATCGACCAAGCAAATTAGGAATGAGTATACTATGAGTGAAACGAAACGTTATAATCAGTGCTGCCAATATAACAAACGCGCCTATCAGTTATTATAGGCTGAATTGGCTATGTTTCCATTGCCGCGGAGCCGGTATAGCAAAATTAAAAGTATTTAAATTAAACCAACAAAACAAAACAACAATATGGCCGACCGAGTCTCTGCTGTGGAAACGTGTGTTGTGTTTTAATACGATACAAGTGTTTGCTTTGTTTGAAACTAAAAAGAAACTTTGATTTATCAACAGGTATGTGTATTAATAAACAGAATAATGTATTTAGTGATAATGGGTTCGAAATTTTACTGGTAATATCACATTGTTTTGTTGTCAAAAAGTAGAAAGTAATTACTTATGTTGAAAATATTTTACGTTTTACTGCGCGTGCATATAACTAATTAACATATAAAAGAGAAGATTACGTTACGAAGTTTGCATTAATTTCGCAATGTAATACGATTTGATTGGAAGGTTATATTTTTACCCTGAAATACTACCTACCGTAGTGATTCCAAGTTATCGATACTATATTATCGATTATGATGCGGCATAAACATATTTGTATTTTACTAGGCAGTTAATAGGTATTATTATAAATACCCCGTAAACCGTGCTATAAAGTATTATTTTTTTAACTTTCAGTTATAATGGGACCTAAGAAAAAAAGTTCAGTTTGGCAGTTCTTTAACAAAATTGATGATAAGAAAACGAAATGCAAACTATGTCAAAAGGAAATTAAGTCTGCTGGAAATACTACGAACTTAATTGGGCACGTTCGTAATGTTCATAAGGCTGCTTATCTTGAAATTCAGCCAAAACAAAATACATTAAATGCAGAAGAAATATCGAATCCTCTAAATACCAAGGTAACGCCTAACGATAACATTGATGATGGTTTACTTCAATCTGAACCGATTCCTAGTACAAGTGGCAGTGGCAATAAAAGATCCTGTGAGCCGTTACCGAAAACCGTAAATGAAACTATTGATTTAGACTTAGAAGAAAACGTTACCCCTTTAAAACGCCAAAAAACAATACAGGCCGCCTTTAAAGATATTTCTTCTTACTCAGAATCTGGACAGAAGACAAGGAAACTGAACAACTGTTTATTATTCATGATTTGCAAAGACCATCAGCCTTTCTCAATTGTTGAAAACGAAGGCTTCAGAACTCTAATGAAAACAGTTGCTCCTCAATATAAACTCCCGAGTAGAACAACTTTAAGACGCTGGCTGGACGATAAATATGAAGTAATTTCAGAGACAATTAAAAAAATGCTATCCTCTATAGAAGATATAACCCTAACAACGGATATTTGGTCGGATACCTTAAATATGAAAAGTTTTTTGGGCATCACAGCGCATTTCGGAATAGACATTGAACTATACTCAATCACTTTAGGCGTGTACGAATTGGATGAAAGACATACATCAGATTATCTTTCTGAAATTCTCTTAAAGGTATGCCAAGACTGGAAAATAGACCAAGAGAATGTAACGGCTGTTGTTACTGACAACGCAGCCAATATAGTAAAGGCGATCGAATTAGCGTTCGGTAGAAGGAAACATATCCCATGTTTTGCCCATACTTTGAATTTGGTAGCTGAAGGCACAATGATGTGTACTGAGTGGAGAAACATTGTTTCTAAAGTAAAAACAATAGTGACTTGGTTTAAACAGAGTTGCGTAGCTAGTGACGAGTTACGTAAAGCCACTGCTGCGGCTATGGAGTCTCCTGCTGGGGTAAAATTAATACAAAGCGTGGATACTCGTTGGAACAGTACATACTATATGTTACAAAGATTTCTAGAACTCCGCAGTGTCATAAATGATATTCTCTTCCGCCACCCCAGAGCACCTGCAATGCTCAGTGCATCGGATATATCTACTGTATCGTCTGTCATCGTGGTGTTGCGACCCTTGGAAGCGGCTACAAAAGAAATTTCGGGTGATAAATACTGCACAAGTAGTAAAATTATTCCCTTAGTTCGTTGCATGCTCTCTAAAATAACTTCAGCTGTTATAGAAGATCC